GGTCCCATTTTCATTCAGTAAAAATTTATTAACATTTTAATTTCATTGGCCCTTGAAGGTTCTGGATGCAAGAAACGTAAAAATCAATGCTAAGTGACTTAAACAATAGTACACTTAACACCCCATGGATAAATATGAAAAGTATCCTGGCTTCAAGGTTAACTGAAGGAATACTTCAATAATGGTCTCAAGGACTCAGGTTCTTCCATCTTTCTCTTTAGCCATTCTTTTAAGTCAGTTTATTGAGGTATAATTTACATATAATACAACTCATAAATTTTAAGTGTACAATTAAATGAGCTTTGACAGATGTATAATCATGTAATCACTATATATAGTTTTACATTTCTCTTGGGTAAATACTTAGGAACAGGACCACTGGGTCATATGTTATTTATATGATTATACAAAACTGACAGTTTTTCAGTGGCTGTACCATTTTGGATCTTCACCAGCAATGTAAGAGAATTCCAGTTACTCCAGACACTTACCAAAACTTATCTTAACAGTGCTTTTTGAAGAGCAGTAAGTTTTTAGTTTTGATGAAGTTAATTTATCAGTTTCTTCTTTTAGGCTTTCAGCTTTTCTTTTTTTTTTTTTTTTTTTGGTATATCCTAATTTTACAAATTCAAAGATCACAAAGATTTACCAAAACCAGAATTATAAAGACTATCTCCTAGGTTTTCTTCCAAAAATTTAAAAATTTTAGCTCTTATATTTAGATTTACATCTATATCAATTTCAAGACAATTTTTATGAGGTATATGAGTTAAGGGCTGAGGTTACAAATTTTGGTAGTCTAGGGACATTTTGGTGGTTATAACTTGTAGGGAAGGGAGTCCTGGGCAGGCCCGGGGTGCCTCTAAATAACCTACGATGAACGGAAGAGTCTACCTTGGACCATCTTCTCTTTCTCAACAAAGAATTACCTGGCCCAAATGTCAATAGTGCCAAGGTTGAAAACCACTGAGGACATAATAAGGACTGGCTAATGCTGATTGAGCTAGAATGACACTGAAATGTTTCGAGCAGAGAAATGATCTAATTTAAGCTTTTAAAAAGATCATGTGGCTGTTGTGAAAAGACTGAGGGGTTGATGGGTAGGGAATAGAATAGCCTTTAGGAGGGTACTGCAATTATCCAGGAAAGAAATGATGGTTTGGACCAGGGTGGTGAGGAGTGATGGATTCTGGATATGTTTTGAAGGTTGAGCTAACAGGACTTACAATATTCCTCGTTAGTACAATGCATATGTTGAAACCTAACCCCCACTGTGATGGTATCTGGAGATGAGACCTTTGGGAGTTGATTTGGTCATAAACTTCCCAGCCATCAGAAATGTGAGAAATACATTTTTGTTGTTTATATACCACGTAGTCTATGGTATTCTGTTTAGCAACCTGAAAGGACTGTGACACTAAAATACTGGGTATTTAGGTGCGAAAGAGAGGAGTATGTCCCCTCAAGAGTAATCTATCATGGCTGGTGCTGGAGCTAAATCTTCCCAAAGAAAGTAACTTGGAGAAATGGACAGAAACCTAAACAAATCTGGAACGTTTGGATAGGCAGCCAATAGTATCTGTTACATACAGATCTTATGGAAACAAGAATGGACGTTGTTGGATTTGTGAATGACTACCTCAAAGGGCACAATTACTTTACATAAAGACTGTGGAGTTTCTTTTAAAAATGTTTTAATGTTTTCATAGCCACAGCACGAAGTGCTTCTTAAGAAATGTCTCCTTATGTAATCTTTCACTTGGTGACAGTCTGAGGGATGTAGGAAGCCCTAAAACCTATTCCTTCAAAGTCATTCAAAGACTTTGATTTTCCTTTCAGTATTTGCATCCCAAGCACTGACTGACTTCCTACATAGGAACTTGATTTATTGCTTAATAATTGCTTTCTGAGCATGTTTTGTCTACCCCAAAATATTATAAGCTCTGAGTCATTATCTGTTAGAAACTACTTAATTGTCTCAATTATTGTAATAATCTTATAACTGGAACCTGACAAAGATCCTCTCCTTGACCAAACTCTAATTAGGCTTCCCTGAACTCTTCTTCAACTAGGCCTTGATTTTTGGACTTCCATGTTCTCTCTACAATTGTCCAATTTTAGCAAGCATCCTGCTAGTTCAGTTCAGCCAGAATCCCCCATCCTCCATAACTGATTAGCTCTCAAATCCAGTGGAGATCTTCATCCCCTACAACCTCCCAGATGTCTGATCTCCCTGGCCTGCCACAGAATCCTCCCCTCATTCCTGCTGTTTCGTCTTAGTAATATTCTATCCACTGACTCCCACCTTGCTCCTTGGCTATAAATTCCCACTTTTTGTTGTTTTATTTGGAACTGGGGATAGCTCTTTCTCCTTTTGCAACAGTTTTGAATAAAATCTTCCTTACCATTTTAACAAGTGTCAGAAAAGTGTTTTTCTTTAACAAACCTTAAAACCCAAATAACTATGATTATTTCCATTTCACCTACAGCAAAATTGCAGTTTGTGAAGTAATTACATTTAATCAAGATTATCCAACTTGTAAATAGGGTGTTATTTATAAATAGCCAAGATATGGAAGCAACCCAAGTGCCCATCAATAGACAAGTGGACAAAAAAAGTGGTAAGTATATACAATGGAATATTACTTGGCCATAAAAAGAATGAAATCTTACCATTTGTGAGAGCATGGATGGACCTACAGGGTATTACGCTAAGTGAAATAAATCAGACAGAGAAAGACAAACGCCGTATGATTTTACTTATACGTGGAATCTAAAGAACAAAATAAACAAAAAAGAAACACACTCATAGATACAGAGAAGGGGCTGACAGTTGCCAGTAGGGGGGTTGAGGGCTGGGTGAAAAAAGTGAAGGGATTAACAAGTACAAATTGGTAGTTACAGAATAGTCCCAGGAATGTAAAGTACAGCATAGGGAATATAGTCAATAATATTGTAATAACTATATTGCCAGGTAGGTCCTGGAAACACCTGGGGGAAAACTTTGTAAAGTACTGTATGTGACTGTCTAACCGCTCTGCTGTGCACCTGTAACTAATACAAAGTTCCACGGTCACAAATGCACGCCCGGCTGTTTCACACCCAACGGATGGCCGACCTTCCAGACTGCGGCGGGCGAGGGCGCAGGGCGCTAACGCAGCTCTCACGCCGCGTTTGGATCCCCGGCGCCCTTTGCCCTGGGCGGCCCGCAGCGCGCACAGGCCGCGGGAAGGCAGGCCCGGCCCCGGCCTCCGCCTG